TTACTTTTTTTGCTCTCTTCCTACCGCACACGATAATTCATTAAGCATTCCCAACATGCTTTTATTCAATTAAAATAGTTCTTCTGCGTTGTGGTTAGCGGAAGGAAGCCCGGCATATTGGTTCTACACTAACTGCGGTAAGATTGAGCCTCCAACATTGGCAAGCATGAAATTACGGTTTTCTAGTTAAGCGCGCCATACACCAAGAGCAGGTCTTAATTATGATAAAGCGTGCCTCGGTTGGTTGGCTATGTTACCGCATGCAAGGACACGGTACGCCATGCCAGTCCACGCCATGCCAGTTCATGCTATGCCAAGCCATGCATAGTGGGTGGTGGGTCGTGGGTCGTGGGAGGTTTATTGTTTTGGTTATAAAAATTTAATTGCATAGACAAGCACAAAAGTGCTCCTGGTAATTTAAATTCAAGTTTAGTATTTTTTTATTGTGCACTTGTGGCAATGACGTATTATGCTAAGGCTTTTCATTTGTCTTGAGCATAATTTTCATTAGCTTTGTGCAAGGGTAAAGAAAAATATTTATTAATACAGCATAAAATGTTTTTAATGAAACAAGCAAAAATAAATGGCTTTTTCTTCTGACCGACCAACTCAGATACGAACGAGTGTAAAGAGTCGTAAACTAATTTCGTAAACAAATAAAAATAAATAGTGGAAATATAAAGATTTTATGTACCTCAACCTAATGAATATTCATAAAGCAAAAATATTTTATTTCTTATTATTGCCTGGAGTAATCCATATCTTAGCTTTGCGATGACCACACCCTGTAGACCCCACATATATACCAATCTGGAGCGTTTTAATGACGCACTCTAATTTCATTATATGCATAACTAAAGCTTATCCTTCATCCGTTGCTATACATTTATCAAAATATTTGTGCTCAAATCTACTAAGAGTTTGTACAGATAAAACTTTGGCAAAAACTACTTCGCTTTGACTTCTGCTCTACTTAAAAAGTTTAAATTATGATTAAGAGTTTCGTTGCAAATTTCATGTTGACATTTTTAACAAAGTCAGGAGAGTTCGGTAGACATTTGAGTCAAATTAAACTTGAGCTAACACAAAGGCTAACAATGTTAATAACAATTTAAGCAGCATAAAAGGTCAGCAGTGATGGAAAAGTGCATTTGTATGCTATGTACGTGCCAGTGATTTTGTCTGGGGGCCTTGAAGTGAGCTGGCCAAACCAGGCCAGGGTTTGTGTTGATCTTAAGTGAATTAAACACACAGAATAGGACGAAGATGAAAAGGATGAAAAGGACGAAAAGGACCATGAAACGAAAATCAAAAAATGTTCAAATTGTGAAATGGAAAATGGAAAATGAAAAATGAAAAAATTTCTTGTCAACAAACTTGGCTAAAATAAACTAAGAGAAGTGTTAGTATCTTAAGGTGGTAGAACTTTGTAAAAATAACAGGTAATAAAGACTTTTAGTTTTGTTTACTTAAGTAAGGTTTTGCTTATGCACTGTAAAGAGTCTTCAGATAAGTAATTAAAGTTTTGCTTTCAATTTAAAATAAAAAGAGTATGATTTTCAAAAAAAAATGCAAATGCATTATGTGATGCATTCGAAACTGAAGAAGAACCACAAAATATGTACAACACTTTGGACTATCTTCCGAAGAAAAGTGGACAAAAGTTTTGAGTAGGATTATATTGCTTTAATTTGTGATATATAATCCAAGTAAAGTAATTTAAAATCTACAAAGCACAATGATAGTATATGATGACAGTACAACTTACAGGAAGATTATAGATTGTCTTCAATAAATACCTATTTATTTTTTTCAAAAGTTTCAAGTAAATCTGGACTAAAAATAAGCAATGCTATTGATAGATAAATATTCGCCAGAATATTTTTTTCGGAAATGAAAAACTGTTTTCAAGAGTATATGGAAGCAGTATAAAAATCACAAAGATTTGTGAATCAATATCCGTAAGATAATACTTAAAATGAGACCTGCAAGAGAAGCTGCAAGCTGAGTGGCAAAAAAGTAGATCAATACACATAATATAGTACTTAAAAATAGTTCTGTAAGAAAAATGAAAATCTGAGTTGGAGTGGTATTTAAAACGTTATCTTCCACACTCTTCTTACAAGTATTCGCCATATCGTCGTATTTTTTTTTTATACTACAAAAACTATACTGTTTTTAAGTTGTGAGAAATTTTCGATTTTGTTCAATAAAATACAGATAATGGTACTAGGACATTTTTTGTGCACTACAAAGGCTTACAGTTGAGCACCTCGTTAGCAAATAAAAATTTAAGGGTACTGATTAATACAGTGGAAGCCTATCTAACCAAAAGAAACTTTCTAAATATACTATAATTTAATAATTCAGATTTTAAAATTTTGAAAATTAAGACTGGTAACTTTAAAGTAATTTAATTCGGTAGCTCTAATGTTATATATTCGAATTACTCGAATTTCTGAATCTTAAACCAACGAAATGCTTGATTGTAGGGGCTTAATTTATTTTTTAATCCATCATCCCAAGACCTCTTTGACTAGGTTCATCGTCATACTACTGCTTTCTGCATTTTTGTGTTCATATATTCCTTGAGATGAAGATCTACTATTACTTTTGTTGTCGTTGCTATGGTTGTAGTTGAACTGATTATTATTGGATTTGGTTTTGCTATTTTAAGGTCTCGGCTGTTGTGAGTATTTATCTAATTTGTTGTTTTATGTTTTATTTATGTAGTTGTCTAGTGGGGCTGAAAAGTGCGATTTTTTTGTTGTGTTTTTATTATAATAATATCCGGTCTACTAATGTGAGTCTCCTAGGCGGATTACTAAAGAGGAGTTTTGTGTGATGATCTCAGGTATTTTGCATTGTTTGATTATGTTTATATGAAGAATTTTACCCATATATTCGTGTCAATTTTTATATTTCGTTGCTGCTAACATAATGCATTTGTTAATGATATGCGTTTGGTATCGTTTGGTTTTTAAAGAACTTTTTATACCGTGTTTTGAATATGTTCTGGTATTAACTACTCAATACTGTATTGACATAATAAATTTTTTAGTTTGTGTCAATTGTTTGAGTTAATGTGACTGACCTATTTTATATTGTTTTTGATTTCTGAGTTGTTATTGTAGTTTCTATATAGATAAGATGGTTAATGGATCACTGTTTTCTTAGATTTAGTGGTGGGAAGTTAGTGTCTGCTTGTCTGTTACTTGTGTATAGAACATATGTTTCGGTCTTGATACAGAAGTAATTACTTATTTGAATATTTGGCGTTGAAGAAGCGATTGTAGATTTGTAATTCCTCTGCCAACGAGTCTCCTGGGTATGTGTACATGTCCTATCAATCTATTATTTTTATTATTGTTGTTATAAGGATTATAATAATTTGAGTACCGCTGTAATCCGGCAACACTGCGTTAATATAGTACACCGGTGTTGTAATACGTAAACTCAAGTAAAAATATGATTAAGTTTTTAAGTCTTTTGCTAAAAAATCATATATTCTTAAAATTTAGTTCTTTGCTAAGTTTCGAGTTGACTTTACATTCATAAAATAAAAAATCAGAAATATACGTCATTAAATCTCAATTAAGCTAAAGATAACTTAATTATTAAAATACAATTTATTAAAATTAAATTTTTTTAAATGAGTTTTTATACTAACGATATTATTTCTGACACAACAAAATATTTATCATGAGTGGTCTTTGGGAACATTTGGTTTAATTGCCTGTATTTAAATTTTGAACGCCTCTTGCTATTGCTAATGTTATTCATTCCTTTGAAATAGCATAGGTATAACATACTTTTATAAAAAAAAAACACATATTTTCGAGTTTATAAATCAAATATTGTTTTCCTGAAATTTTAAGTAGCTGCGTAAATAATCAAGTACCAGAGTCTTTATATATTCAACCAAAATTAACTAACATATTATTTTCGGTTAGGTTCCAGTTTTCGTGTCCGCAAGAATATCGGTTTCTTCGGCTAACGGATTACTTTAAAACGGAGATGCTGTTTCGAAAAACTCATTCTTATGAACCATACTACTGAATATATATATTTAAGAGTAATAAACACGCAAACATATGCTACTATTTAAAGTTAGAAAATTTGTAATGAACTTAACAGAAAATAATTTCCGCTTTTAAGGTTCATTTTTGGCTAATGCTTTCGAAAAATTGAAAAGTTATCACCAAATGCAAAACAATGTTGCGAAGAAACCAATATATCAATAATAGCAAAGTTTGGATCCATAGATTCACATCTTTGATACATGAAAAGTTGAAACAATGTACTGCTGAACCTTAATCCATTTCAGAATAGTCGCATGTGTTTTTAATAACTATTCAATAGATGGCGCTAATTTTTTGAAAAGAGGAAGGAACAATAATGAACTCCAAGCATTATGTGCATAATAAAAAAGTATTTAGGAAAATTACATTATTTACAGAAACGAATACATTTCTCCACAAAAATGTCCCGATTTTAGGACAATATGCAGGGCATAATACGGAAAGAGAAAGTCCTGATTTGTTGTGTTATCCTTAAAGAGATCAAAACATGGTTCTGTGCGCCAAAACCAGATTCGATGAAGTTCTCTTCCTTTCATGTAAAATTCCATTAATACATTAATATCCTTAAAAAGTGGTGAAAAGAAAAAACGAAAATGGATATTTTTTTATTTTTCTATTTTGTCATTTGTGTTAAAATAATTAAATTTAAAATTTTTCGCTCGGAGCATTGCGTAATTTAATATATCCTGTGTCGTTGCGACTATTCTGCGCGTTTTCTTTGCTGGGAGTGCTTGTCTGGACTTCATCCGACCGACTCGCCAGCATAATTAATATATATATGAATAACACAGAAAAAAAGTCAAATAACAATATAACGAGAAGAAATATGTAAATGTGTATATATACATTTATGTATAACATATATGGATAGATGTAGATGTATATGCCATGGATATAATTTTTGCCATTTTCACTTACCATCCTTTATGGAATAACGTGGATTGCTCATATCGACTTTTGTCTGATTTTTAATCCAATATATTGTAGGTGTCGGATTTCCGATGGCTTTGCATTGCATTACCGCAGTGTGGCCAACTTCGATGACCCGTGTGCTTGGATTCTGAGTTATGACTGGGAAACCGGGTGGCGTTTTATCACCTGCAATGAACAAAGAAATAAATTTCATTACAAAAATTATTCATATAACATTTATAGTAAATGTGAGCAAAAGAAAATAACGCGTATATAGAAGAGATTTAAAGTAGTTTTTTACTTTTTTTTATTTTTTATTTATTGCATATAAGAGATGTGAAAATATTGCTAAAGTTGTACGTTTGTAGGGGCGAATAAAAATATGACAGCCAACGTGTAATTTTAAGTGAATATCACACCTTTTAGCAGAAGTCAGTAGCTCTGTTTTTGTGCCCCACCATAACAGTGTCTGTTGGTCTTGTTAATGCTGTTACTTCGTCTATGTTGTTATTGCAGCAGTGACGTTTTTGTATGCAGTCTTGTTTTATTTGTTGCTTTTGTTAGTGCGCTTTTACGCTACTGCAGAGGTCCTTTAACGTGTGGGTTGGTTTGCTCTTGCTGCTTATGCCTATGTTACATTCATTCAAAGTTACTTTTTGATTTTCTTTTCTTGCATTGTATTTCTATACGTAATATTAAAGCATAAAATTTTTTGTTTTTTTTATTTTCATTTTTTTATGTTGCGCGCTACCATATTTAAAAGGCTACAATAAGTGTCGCTGTTCGGTCTCTGCTCGTGTGTTCAGCATAAAATATGCATATAAACTATGAATGGTAGAAGCGTTAAAACAATAGATGTGATCAGACAAAGGCTGTGGACTTTAAGTAGAGAAACAAAAACAAAAATAAAAACAAGAACAAGAACAAAAAAAAATAAATGCAAAGCGAACTTTTTCTCATTTGAAAAGTTAAAAGCACAAGTTTGTGTGTTTATGTGCGCTCTCTACTGTCTGTCAACTGGCGTAGTGTGCGTTTGTATAAAAAAAATTGCACGTATTGTGGAACATTCATAGCTTTTACATGTGGTAGCAAAAAAGTGGTAAAATATGTTAAGAGCAGAAAAATGACGGTTAATTAAAAGCGGAATTAAAAAAACTCACATAAAAGCACAAAGTGAAAGGAGGAGCGGGCACAGCATTGCCAATGCAAAACATAGACATAATTGTTGTTTTCCTTTTTGAACACAATGAGATACAAAATGGCAACACTTTTGAAAAATAAATTAAAACTTCGGCAAAGGTAAAATATATAAAATAAATAAAAATAAATGTTGACTTAGCTAATACACTCTGAAAGATATAGTAATATTCATGACTTAAAACGAAATAAAAATACTCAATTTTTAGCTGGAAGCTAAAACAATGTTAGCTTCGTTTATTCTTTAACAGTTTGGTTATACACCAGACTGACATATATTCTTAATTAATAATCATAACATTCTAGTAAGGTAGATATTGAACGTAACAAACGTCCAAAAAAATCATTGCTTAATTAAGAAACGACAAATTTATATCATTCAGAATTTGAAATATAGAATAACCAATTATGTGACGAATACTGTATGAAAGAAATTCGAATAGATGAGAGAATGCTCGACTGAAATAATCCTTAAAATGTCCCAAAAATGGTTTGGACCACTTAGAACCTATACACAATCGACTTTAGGAAGTAGTATACATTATATTATAACTAAGTATCCACAAAAGAAAGCATGTGAAAAATTCAATAAAGAGCATCAAAAATAGTTAAAAGCCAATCCTGAGTAAAATTGAAATTAATTTTTATAACAGTTTTGGTATAGTTTAACGCATACACTCGATTGAAATTTTACTCATACATGAAAAGATGATGAAGCCAAAAAATGCACAATATTTTTCTTCTGTCATTATCTTGAAGTTTTTTTATTTAACATTAACATGGGCATTTTATTTTTAATGCCAGAACGAAACAGAGAACAGTCAAAGTAAACAGTTTAAACATTATTTGGGAATATCAAAATAAATGTTAAGTTATTTGTCGAAATGTATTCTTTTAACACACACACAACTAAGTAGAGTTCACGTATACGACTTTTCAATCTACAGAATTCATCAAGTAAACCAAGCATCAAGAATTAATGTATCAAAATAATTTTTCAAACATTATTTAAGTATTTCATGGACCAATAAAATGAATTTATACTAAAAGCAATATTTTTTCGTAAAATGAATTCATTCGATTTATGTAAGTTTCCTACTTCAGAAACTAGTTCTAGCAATATGTTAGAAACTCATCGATAACTTCAGTGAAGTCCAATCTACTTCAAATTATTTCAATAAAAATATTAACATTTATGGTCTCATCATACAAAATAAAGAAATTGCCTTTTATAGTTTTTTCCAATAGTGGAAGCATTGTTGTGATACTAAGTAGTACTTTTTCGCTCTTTAGTAACAATATTTTCCTTTGAATTTAAATGTTAAACACTGTAAAATAGCATAGCATTGTTATGATCTTTATTATGTGTTATAATATAAAATTTGATAAAGTTAATTAGCATTTTTTATCCATACATCAAGCGAAATATAGTCCGTAAGTCCATTCAATTTTTGAACAAACATTTGCGGTTTTTGAAGATACTTACGATAGAAAGAAAGCCAATATGCAAATAAATAGATTAAAATTTGTAATTGTGTTGATTGAAATGCTGTTGTTGTTGTGCCTCGTAAAGATATAGAAAGCAGGTAACATGAAAGAAATTACAAAGCCGTATACATGGATGTGCATTGTGGCGGGAAACAGATTGTCGACATCATAGGAGATAGAGCTGCAATTGAGTTGATTGTAATGGTTTGCTAGAGCTACATATTTCTCTACTCCGCATTAAAGTTTTTAATAACGCATTTGTAGTATACTTAAGTGCAAATCACACCTATTTGCTTATGTGACTTGAAAACTTTCCCCAATATATTAAAAAGCATTCTAAGTAAAACAGTCATACATAGCAATACATAATATTTGTTGAACAATACTGAAATTGCAATCGATTTAAAACCCAAATATATTGACATCTTAATAGATCACAAAAAGTTACAACATAAAGCTATAACATGGAAGCCAAAAATTTGCAAAAAATCTTCAGGCCTCTGAGTTGCATTGGTTCATTTCTCCCTGTGTCTAGAGTATAAAGTACTTTCATATAACAGTACCATAAAACCAGTATGGAAATCTACAAATTCCCTTAGATAAAGCAAAATTGTACAATATTAGAAAAAAATATAAGGCTGACAAAATATGTTTACCTCTTATCTAGGAACCTCGCACTTCTATTCACTTCTTCCCGTCTAAAAAAAGCTGACCGTGCAGCCATTAATTAAAAATCAATAAGTGCAAGTAAAAACCCCACGTTTTTCTTAGTCATTGTTTTCAAAAAAAATTTCATTATTATTAAACCTAACTGAGATGTCTACGAGAAATATTGACTGTAAATTCTCAGCGGACCCGAATAGTCCTTCAAAAAATCAAAAATGAGAACAAAACTTCAGTTTTGTCCCACAATGTATTTACATAAAATATGATTAGATATCGTATCAATTAGGATTTTTTTAGAATGTGCTCATTAGAGTAGAGTAGAGGGTAGAGAACGTTTCAGTTCCTTTAAGTGAGCCGCTAATTCTGCCAAATACTGTTTACTTTCAGGGTTCGAATGGAATATAATAAATAATCTTGGATTATTATTACAGACCAATCTTACTGTATGGTATGTTTTAGACTCTATTATTAAATGATTTCTACTTGATGCGCTTCTAGTTTTCGATGTTGTTTAGAATTAGTTAAGAATCAATTACTTTAAAAACTATTACTTAATGTCACTAGACAACTGAAATTAATAATACAAAAACTAAAATATGGTAAGAGGTGGTTGTACTTGATCTTTTTAGCTTATCTCAAACATTTTGATTGTTCGATTGCAATGCTCAAGTACTTTAAAGCACAGTCATGTTATTTTTTTTAATGACTTTAATCTAAAGTAATAACTATCATAATAATAAAGAGTCAAATATTAACCTCATATTAAACAAAAAGTGCTTTAAGAGGTTTAAGAAATATCCTGAATTCAATAAGTAGATATGTAATGCAGCAAGCTTAACGCACTCATATAAAAAAGGTAATTCTATAATTTCAATTTAAATCTATAATAAATCGTTGCTTAAAACTCTGGTATCCTTTAAAAGAGCTTTTATGATTAGCTCCTTCTGTGAAAATTTTTTGCAGCAGTACATTTTTTCATTGCATGCGCTCCATAAAATAAGCCATTTCTCACTCCACGATTAGCTACACTGAAGTTTCGCATTATTTCTATTTACTTTCATATTGCAAAGTAATATTTTATGTCTTCACTACTTACAACAGTCAAATTACTTCATAAGTTATAAGCAGCTTTTTAACCATCACTGTCAATATCTCAGTACCGTTTGAGTTATGAGCTAGCAAAAGTGCACTCGCTGATCTTCGCATAACTATTTAATTTATTTTTTAAGGAACTCAGTTCAACTAAAGCAGAAGTGTACATATTTCTGTCTGGAATTTGGAACATTGAAAAAAAGGAAAACTACACAAAACTGACTATACAACTGAAAAAAGGACCTTCTCAAAAATGCAAGCAGTTTGAAATTTAATCTAGCGTAGCGCATTTATTTAAGCAGCAACAAAAACAACACAGAACTTCGAACTTCAGTTCAACTGCGTTTATTACAACTGCAAGGAGCAGCTTAAAATGTATCTTTGTGTGTTGGGTGGTACATATTCAACCTAACACACTTAACACAGTTCAAGTGTACAGTTGTTAGTAACTTGGCTTTAAATTGACTGCGTGCGACACAAGTATAGTTCGGTTAAATTCTTGCAAAAATCGAAAATAAAATTCAATAAAAAACTAAAGAAAAAACGAAAATACAAAAAAATACAAAAAAATACAAAAAAAAAACAAAAAAACACAAACACAGTTTCTGTGCACAGCAGTTTTCAGTCTTCAATAGGAAAGCCAAATTTTGGACAGCTTTAAAATGTTGCAAGATACCGTAACGAGCAATGCTGATAGTTGATAGTATAAAATATTGACTGCATATTTAAGTTTTACT